AATACCTGCGTTCCCAGCACAGATTTTTGAACATCGTGCGAGTTATGCTGCTTGTCGATTTATGTGGCCAGAGCGCCTAGACTGTTATGTCTATGATGGAAAGCTTATTTAACATCCTCTTTTCACTCTGTTGTGGCTTTGGCACGGGCACACTGTCAGGCCTTTTAGGCATCGGCGGAGGAATGATCATGGTTCCGCTTTTTTGTCTGGTGTTCAACATGAGTCCGCTTTCCGCAACGGCGACATCACTTTTTGTTATCATTCTTACCTCGGTCTTTGGAACAATCACCCATCTTTACCATAAAACATGTCTACTGCGCATTGGCCTTATTACTGGGCTATCTGGCGCTCCTGTTGCGTTTTTTTCAGCACGCATTGCGCGCTACACCCCTAACTGGCTCATTGTGCTTGTTACCGCTCTCATCATTATGTATAGCGCAATCCATATGCTGAAAGGTACTGACATATTCGGAAAATATACTGAAAATAATAAACATTCTCACATAAAACAAACGAGCTCCTGGCAACATATGAGTAGCTTACGCACTGCGGTTTTGAGCAGTATTATCGGATTAATTGCCGGTTTTTTTTCTGGATTTTCCGGGGTCGGCGGCGGCTTTATTATGGTTCCTTTCTTCGTCAACTTCCTACAAATGGATATGAAGATGACCTCGGGAACGTCCCTTCTGGCGATTTTGTTCATTGCCGTAACGGGCAGCATCCAGCGAGCACTATTTGGCCATATCGCTTTTCTCCCTGGTCTTAATATGGGAATTGCCGCTATTCCCGGAGCAATACTAGGATCTCACTTGGTTAGAAAAGTGCCAGAACGCACGCTAAAAATTGTTTTTTCGTGCCTTCTTATCATCTGTGCCATCATGCTCATAGGTAAACAAGTTATTCATTAAAGCGCGAACACCCTGACACTGATGTAGACAATGGACTTTGGCATATCATCCTATTTTGTAGCTGGCAACCGACCCAGACCGGCATAACGCTTCTTGCGACACATCTGTCATAGG